CTGTGAATCGCTCTTCTGCTCCCCTTCCTCGACTTTCTGCTACCTTGATGACCCTTCCCTCTGTGAAGCCCGAAGTCAACTAAAGGGCTAATGATAACCGTCAAGACGCCTGCCATTTGAAATAAATAAATAAATATGCCAGGTAAGGGAATTGTTAAACGGCGAAGTGCGGAACTTGTGCTGAATACAATAGAAGTGAAATACTCCTTGTTGTTTATCCGTCAGAAAGGTCTTTGTTTGAGACAACTGGGTGTTAAGTTTGGGGGGGGGGGGGGGGGGGTATCTCTACGCGTTTCTGTGCTTTATATTGGTTGGCCATCAGGGTAAAATGGACTAGATATTTTTTAACTCTTTCTGTTCCACCTCAAGTCCTCTTTTTCCCAACTTGGGTACCACTCAGTTCTTACTTAACTCTTTGTCTTAGAAGAATCCTTCGGTTTGTAAGGGGACATTGTAGTTTAATTGGATCAGACTTAGAGCAAACTCCCGATAATTGTGCCTCTTTAAATGGGGCCGATCATTGTGCCTACATAATGGATCTTATAGGCAAACTGGTCCAAACATGTTCGGACAGAGGATAAGACTTAAGCATTTCACTGACCTCTTCTAGGTACATTTTTAAACTCAACTCTCCAACATTTGATAAAGGTATTTTCTCACATCTTAGTTGCCAGAGTGCAAATATTTATCCTGTGATAAAAAAGTTAATTTTTGATTTTTTTCTCTTGGGAAAGTAAAATATTTCATATTTATAACTATAATATTTCAACTAACCTTATGATTATATTATCGCCTTGTTTGCCCGTTTGAAGGTCGTGATTAAAGTGGGCTTGGAAGAGTTCTCCCTGTTCTTGGTTTTGGAAGGTGCTACCCAGCCCTTGACGAGGAGTCGTCATGTAAGGCAGTAGTAACTATCGAATGACTTCCTCCGTCGCTTCCTCACCTTTGAACCTGCCGTAAAAACGCTCTGTCTTGCACATTGGTTGCTGGCGCATGAATGCTATCAAAAGTTCATTGTTCGCAATATTCCTCGAAATGCAAAGAAGGTATTGGTGTTCCAATGTTACACCGGAGGTCCTGGTAAACCTTAAGTCATGAAATTCGGCCACTTGGAGCGCGAGCCCACTAATGAGGAGTAGATGACGATAGAATTCAAAATATGTTATTATCCAGAGATATAATGACGTTAGGAACTTCTTTCATACGTCACAGTTTATATGCAATTAACTAATATAATCGTCAATTTTCTCGAACCCAGCTTTCTTCCTATCTTTGTTTGCGAATTCATATCGTAAAGCTATTGCTCCGTAGAGAAGAAGATTTGCCGAATACATTGAACTGCTTTCGTTAGTTTCTTATGACGATATCAAGGTATATATTCCATTAGAAAAGCAAAGTGATGGGTGTAGAAAAATCTATGGGACCTCTTCACTGCATAGATACGGATGATTGCTTCTTTCATAAATTTGAGTGCAAACAGCTCGTTTGGACTAAACCAGCTTTTCGCTTGGTGCCCTGTAGTTGCCAAAGGTTAATGAAGGAGGCTAACGATGTTCCTCGGTGACGTTCGTTGTGAACTTTTTCCAAATATCTGCTTATTTATCAAATAAATTAGCAACAGCGAGGTTCACGTGTGGTTCGTGGTGAAAACACTGATATGTAAAATGTGGTTACCGGAACGCAATTTAGGGAAGTGATCTTCCGATTCCCCAGGAATCAGACATAGCCGATACGTACACAATTTCATCACTTTCGTTATTTCAATGCTGTTGATTTTTGATGGCTTAATTTCTCTAAGTTCCATCCGCTTCGAAAAGTTCACCTGATTTCCCAAGATTAGTACATTTTTATTTGTTTTGGGGAAAATTCACTTTGAACAAAATATATTAGTAATACTACCACCTGAAAAATGGATATTTTTATTACTTAACATGTAATATTGTGTGATGGAGGAACGTTCTATGTACTGTCTTTCTTTATTTGAGATTCTGATGTCGTGCATTCTCTTCACTATAAATAGGAATTGAAATGAGCACAATGGTCTTCTTTATTGAGTAGATTCTTTTATTAGCTATTAATTGTTCTGGGTTTTGGAGAGTGATGTCAAGTAATAACTTTACAGAAGCCCTTTATTATCATTGATGTAGTTCGCATTTATTGGATTGTACAAGGTATCTTTTTGAGTGGGCAATTGCTATTTCTCGGATTTAATGCTATATATTATTGCTAAATTTGAGAAATTTACTTCTTGAATACATATATGCGTATATTAATTATTGACGTAGTGGGTAGAACGTAATGAGTATCTACTTCTCTGTCAGAGCTAAAAGAGCATTTATGATTCGTGGCTAAAAGGACTATTAGCAAAAATTTGAATTTTCATTTTATAAGAAAATTTAGGAATAATAATAAGCGGTCATATTGGTACGCTTTATCAAAAAGGGGATTTTCTACAACAAAATTTACTTATTGTTCATAAAACTAAGCAGCTGAATTAGTCCGAATCTTGCTTCTCTGAACTCTAAAAGTGACTTCTAAGATAATAAACAACGCATGCGTACATTATGGCAGCGTGAAAATTATTGGGTCAAAATGTATGGTTCATAAGAAGAACAAAAAGCCATAGTTTTCGCTAACTACTGGCTCCAAATCAAATCCAAATAATACCTTTAAACCAGGTATATCATTATGTTTACAAAAATGATGTAATACTGAAGAGCGAAATATTATGTAAAATAATACAATATTTGAGAAGTGAGAAGCGAACTCAGGATACGTGCATTTAATTAGCACCAGAATCAGGGTCCATAAGCACAAATATAATTGTTCTGAAACTATGATAAACTATCCATAGCGCAGAGCTCAAATTAAGTCTTTAGGTCTTTAGTGATATTTGAGTCGAGATCAAATCAACTTTTAAGCTCCAGCTGTAGCTCACATGAACATGCCAATAATAATGTAGTATGCCTACCAAGTTTAGGGAGCACAGTATCAAGAACTTCATCTTGCAATTTTAATTTTATAAAACTTGGAGAAAGAATTAAAAATATGGTCATTAATTATATAATGATGACTATTAATCTCTTTATAGAGAATAGAAACCACAAATATATTTAGATAATAACAAAACGTATTTTGATGTGTACTACATCGAGAGTTTAAAGGAATTATTGTTAGTTTGCTAAGAATAAATGTATACATCATTGTCTGATGTATTCATTTTTGATAGAAATTAATTAATAAATTATCATTTAATGTCATTTTAAAATTTGCGCACTAGCCCACCTGCACATAAGATGTCGGATAGCCTGTATACGGCCGCCGGGGTTTTCTTAGACATCGTGGACTCGGATTGGATAAAAGACACCCTTCCATTTGAAGATATTCATATTAACATTGAGACATTGCCATTTTCTGAACCTGAGTTGGGTGCACAAGGCGAAGCCAATAAAAATAGTCCTCACAGAAGGGAACCACCTATTGAGTGCGACCACCAATCTTTACTTTTACCTAAAATTCCAACAGAAACCCATTATTTTTCAACTGGAAATTTGCCGAATTTAAATTTGCTAAATGAGTTGGAAGTCAATAATTTGTCGTGCTGAGAACCTCCTTGGCGGTCGCTGTCCGGCTGTCGATTTTTCCCTCCTTGGTAAATCTGAATCAAGTCTCTTTATTGAGCGAATTCGAAGCCTTTCTTCTATGTTCGATCACAAAATTACCTCTGTTATATACACCGAGCTTGAAAATAGTCCCCATGACAATTACCTCACGTTCCGTAATTGGACAAATGTGTTTTCCACAAAAAAATCTGCCCCACGTCTTCCTTCAAGTATGGTCATTCCCCTCGTAGGACAATGTGTTTATGGTAGGGGTTCAAATTCCCTGCAACTTCATCGCAAAATGGGAGAAATTTTCGCTGTTATCAATCTAGCCATTGCCTTGCACAGATCCGTTGTTGATCTATCCGACCCCCACTTCCAGCATCATCAACGTAATAATTGTGCTTGGGTCAAGAATATGGAATCAGGAAACAAATTTGCCGTTTTAGCCGGTGATATTCTGTTAGCCAACTCATCAGTTGAGTTGGCTTCTTTCAGAATTCCTAAGGTAATGCTGCTTAAATTTAATATAGTTATTGATCTCAGGTTGTTGAGCTTATATCCGGTGCGATTGCTGAAGCTGTTTGTGCGGAGTTCACCGATCTTGCAACCGATTCTACACAGTTGCTGACCGATCCTTCTTCACAATGGCTTGATCATGCAAAATTACGTCATGGTGCTCTTTTAGGTGAATTTTGTGCTGCTGCAAGCCTTTTAAATTCACCATCGACTAAAAATCTTGGTCGAATTCATAAAATTGCTCGAGAATTTGGCGTAAACTGGGCTTCACTTTCTCGCCTTCTTTCTGAGCTTGATTATATTAAGGAAATTAAGGTAAGGGGGATTGTTTCATAGATTGATCATTGTCTGTCATTCCTAACACTTGCTATTTTTCTAATTCGTCTTAAAGATCGATAATCCTAGGCCTCCAAAGACTCTTACTTCTCTTGGATTCACCGATAGTGGTTTGCCAGAACCAACATTGGCTGATACTCTACTAGTGGCTTCCGAGGCTACCTCTTCCACCATTTACGATCAGTACAAATCAATGGCTTCGACATTGGCATGGCAATTGGGAGACTCACTTTGGAGACTTTTGGAGGAAAGCAAGCCGAATTCTGATGTACACTCCCTTGCCAAAGATTCAGTTGACCTGCTTGTGAAAGAAGCTTGCTGAATTTGGCCTTCATCCTCTTTTACCTCTGTATAGAATCCCCTTAGTTTTTAGTTTTATGGTAGAAATATGGCATTGAAACCCGCATTCCACCTTTTTCTGAGTATTTATTATTTAATTGGATGTGAGTTTAATGGAATCATTTTTAGGATGGCGAATTTCTGAAAACACGCATTACCTAAAGCAATGAGAATGGTGAATGACTTGTAGGTATAATGTACTGGTGACCCAAGAGGTTGATGCTCGAGTTTATTTACGAGTTGTTAGTTTGTGCATAACTGGTTGATTTGATAGCTGGTCTCTAAGTACACCATTCTAGTCTACGTCTGACTCGCCGAAGCTAATGTGTACAGGCACGTTGTAGGTAGTGTTTACTCTTGGTGTCCACGTCATCGGCCATTTTCCTCATTTTCATCTTTATTCGTTTTTCTCGTGACTCCGGACATGGGCGGTCACGTGAACCAAGGTGGTCGGAGGTAATCGGTTTGGGTTTTCAATAAAAAAACTCGAACGGGCATGGAATGGCTTTCCATGATGGTCTCAGATACAACTGACTGAACTGTTAAACTCGGCTGAGGTTAACCTCTCGAGAGCGAAGAGGATCAGAAGATTCATATAACAATGTATTTGCTGTATTTTTTTGAGTTACGGATAGATCTGTCTTCATTAAAGAAGAAGCGTTTCTACTCTAAACCGAAATCGATAAAATCAAATGTACTATAAAGAATAGGAATTGACAGAGAATAACCTGTAGGACTGGAATTTTCGGCTTTTCTGGGTGGAAGAGGGTGACTTGGAGAATTAGATGGAGTGCTTTGCAGTAGGCCTTAATTTACCCATGGATATGCTTTTTTTACCATAAACTGCACATTTGAAATTGATGTTTGCGGTGATCAAGTTGCTCTAGCTTAGAAACCACCAACACAGGTCAGTGAGAAGGGGCCTGGAATCAAGGGTTGCCACAAAATAGAATCGAAACATTTTTTATGCAAACAAAAGAAGACGGTACCTTATAATTAATAAACAGAAGTTTGGAATGACTAAATGACGCTGATGATCAATAAACCGGATGATCGGTAAACAGTTTATACTTCATGAGTTTGTCGCAATCGGAACGAAGAGAAGAAGGTGTCAAATTGAGTTGACTTGATAGACTATTCGAAATTCGGTACGCCATGGGGTCAAGAATTCTCAATGTTTAATTATCGGTATGGTCGATGAAAAACGACATCTTGCCTTTCTTGTCAAATTCTAAGAAACGAATTCATCATTAGAACTGAGGAGGACATTAGCTTTCTAACAGGAGTGAATAGAAATAAAATGAACTTAGAGTAAAATTGCAATTATTTTAAGTCGGTCAGCTTCCACATAGGGAGGTAGAAAGTTAAGAAAATATTCCCAAGAATTGATGATATTTGGCCTTATTTGTACCAATACCCAGAACCTACCTGTTTATCATACATAAAAAAACACATAGAGAACATATGTTCCGAGGAACAGATACCGCAGATTAATTTAGCCGCGAAGACTTTCAATGGCGGTTGCTAACTGTTAACTGCTTTTCTTAAATGGAGTTTCCTTTCAACTTCCAGTCGTGGTAACGGCAGTGAATGTTCTTCAGCCTCATTGGCTGGTGCGATACGCGCGGGTGGCTAAACAATGGGCCAATGAGCGCTGTTTGTTAGCAGGATCGACAAAGTAAATCCCCTCTCCCAATACACGCCATATAGCCCAGTCAAGCAGTTTGCTTTTACCTCCAATGTGCTAAGGATGGGCGCTGTCTCCTCTATTTCAAGATTTTTATATTCTGAGTCACTCTAACCTCGGGTTAGCTATCAGTTTGAAATATTACGATGACATTTTACTCCTCCTGAAAGTACGCCCATTTTCATTGTATTTCAGGAAAACCAACAATGAAAACTATATGGATTACGAAATTGTTCATTTTATCAACCATTGTTTATATCAGCAATTGCTTGGAAGGTCATTAAAACAAAAACATCACATTATTGATTATTGATTATTATTATTTTACATTGATGTATTTGATGATAAAATAAGATTTGTATTATCTTTTTTGACATAAATTTTAGAGTTCAAATTTCATTCAATTGAAAAGATATTGATAAAGAAACTCTTGGAGAAATATGAGAAAGTTGGAAAGATTGGACGCCCAGTTAGGAATACCAGTGGGACTGTGAATGTGGAATTTGGATTGTCGCTCTTTCAGTTGACAGACTTGGATGAAGCTGAACAGCTGTTCACAGTGAACGCCGGGAACAAATACGTAAGTACTGACCGTTTTGAATATGATGAGAGCAGAGGAAATTAACTTGGAATAGTTATTAAAAAACCGAACAATTGAAGTGTATACGATTTTTTTACCGAACATTTTTATTTGTCCCAATTAACAAGTAAAGTACAAATGGTGCCGCTATTCAATCTTTTACAATTGCTCATTTATATACAGTTGGGGACTTCGATATGCGATCGAACGAATTATTCCTCGTTGTGAAATAGATGGAAGTGTTTAATAGTGCAAAGCTTAATCGCTACAGATCATCTAACAGCTCAATCTCCCAAGTATCAGAAATTCCAAGAGCGGTTGAACAATTTAAATAATTAAATACTAATGTTGGGCCATGATTTTGGAGTTTGTTCGCCGCTGAATGATAGCACTCAGTCATTGGCAGCATACTGTAGATAAATCTGTGCAGAACATCTTATAGGCTAGATAAGCTGCTACGAAAGGGGGTAAGGTCTGTAAGGTTCATGGAAAGTATAAAGGAGTATACAAGTAACTTATTTATATCAAATGTCAGGCGTTTTGATAGTTATCATTGGCACTTTAGTTGACTTCGGGCTTCATAGAGGGAATGAACAGTCGAGAGGAGGAATAGAAGAGTGATTCTCAGATGTAAATAGACAGAGAGACAAAAAGGTTGGGGAAATGATAAGGTGATTGCTGTGGAAGTGGTCGAATATGATATACAGTGGGGTCATGGTAGGTTGAAGTTAACTGTCGTATGAGTATACGTTGCATAGGATGCACCACATGGAGGTAAGTCTATCGCACATCCCGCATACAAGTAATAAAGATGCAGGGATAAGAAAAGTGACCATCTTCCTGCGATGTACAGAATCCTCCCACTCAGATACAAAAAAGTTGTAAAGGGTGTCATCTCGATGTGCCTGCATCCCTTCGATTCACTCAGTATGCTGGAGTGAATACTTCTCATCGCGATAGCGAGCTTTCACTGGCAACATCAAGTTCGAAATAAGCTAAAGTGTACAGTAAAAAAGACGGAGTAAGTTGATGAGTGGAATCATTCATATGGATATCAATTGTAACTTCAGTTAAATAGAGTCTTTCCAAAATCTTTAACCATCAGTTTCTATTCCCCTCAGTAGCGGCTTAATTAAGAACCATGCATCTCGCCGTCAGTACAGATTAAATTTCTCCGTTTCATCGATGCGTTTTGGTATAAACGCGTATTCGCATTTGATTCTATTTTAATGAATATTTACTTCACAAATAGATATATTGCTTAGTCTACTCAGAATTGAGTTTGATTCGTTAAACCACTAAGCGCTTATAATTAAT